GAAGTTTTCTTGGGCTATGCACGTACTACCGCCGATTTGTTCCGAATTTCGCCAGCGTTGCTAATAGCCTCCACGAGCTCATGAGGAAAAATAGAGCCTTCGAGGGGAAGAAGGAGCAGGAGGAGGATTTCCAAACTCTGAAGGAACGGCTATGTACTGTACCTATGCTAGCGTATCCCGTTCCAGGTGCAACGTTTATTTTGGATACGGATGATAGAGGTTATGCCATAGGAGGCGTACTGTCGCAGGTAATTGATGAGCAGGAGAAGGTAGTTGCCTACTATAGCCGGTCGATTGGAAAACCAGAGAGGAACTACTGCGTAACTCGGAGAGAACTACTAGCGTTGGTGGAGTGCGTCAAACATTTCCACAGGTACCTCTATGGGCAACGTTTCCGAGTTCGAACGGACCATGCAGCGTTGAAGTGGTTACTACAGTTTAAGAATCCAGAAGGACAGCTAGCTCGGTGGATTGAGAGACTGCAAAGTTATGACTTCGCTATTGAGCACCGCAAGGGAAGTGTCCACGGTAATGCTGATGCCACGTCCCGCCGACCATGTAGCCTGGAATGTAAACACTGCTCAAAAGCTGAGGGAAAAGAAGACATTATAGACGTCCGTCTAACGACAATAACACCAGCGGAAGAGTGGGAGGAAGAACAGCTACGAAAGTGTCAGCAGGAAGATCCAGATCTAGAGCTTTTGATGCATGGACTGGAGGTGGACAGGAGGCCAACTAAGGAGCAAATGGCAGCGGAAAGCCCCATCGCAAAGGCGTACTGGGCACAATGGAACAGCTTAAAATTAATATCTGGCTGTTTGCATAGGGTATGGGAAAGCGAAGATGGCCAGTGCTCCCGCAACCTGATAGTAGTTCCAAGGGTAAGAATTCCGGATGTACTCAAGGAATTCCACAATGGTCCTAGTGGAGGGCACCTGGGAATCACGAAGACCCTGGAGAAGGTTAAGCAGAGGTTCTATTGGGTTGGTTGTCGGCAATCGGTCGCAGAGTGGATTGCTAACTGCGCGGAGTGTATTGCAGCTAAGGGGCCGAAATCCAGAAGTCATGGCCAGATGAAGCAATATAACTCAGGTGCACCTTTCGAGCGGATTGCCATGGATGTAGCCGGTCCATTTCCTATGAGCGCACAGGGAAACAAATACGTCCTTGTGGTTATGGACTACTTTAGCATATGGCCGGAGGTATACCCGATTCCAAACCAGGAAGCTAAAACAGTAGCGAAGGTATTCACCTAGAATTGGGTTGCGAGAAACTGTGTACCTATAGAGCTGTACTCTGACCAGGTGGTCCACTTAGAAAGGCTTGGAGCGTTTGAAACAGCAAGTGTGTCTGATTCGGACGATCAGACTTAGGTGGAGGGCAGTGTGGCGAATACTGCGGCAACACAAAGCGAACAACGCGAAAATGCAGAATGTTCCACAAAGAGAAACGTCAAGTTGGATGAACACTGCGAACAGCGAGAGAAAGAGAATGAGCGATAAACTTCAGAACGTTCTAGAGTTGCCATAAGTGCGAGCGCAGGTACATATATAAGGGTGCCGCCACAGCGAAGTGAGTTAGTTACAAGTCAGCAAGCTACAAGTAAAGTGAGCAGAGAAGTGAGTTGCGGATAAGCAAGCTATAAGTTTAATTGTGTTGACAAGTTTAGTAAAGCCTTGTATTGCTTTAACAAGTATTGTAAAGTTTTTTACTGTATTAGCGAGTATTGTAAATAGTTTGTTGTACAATAAAGTTAATTGTACTACAATTTGGTCATCGGTAGCATTTATTTAACAATCCAGCGATACGAACCGAAGATTTTGGGAAATCCGGCCGAGGTTTCAAGGATAATCGTAACAGTTGGGGTGTTCACAGTTCGTTCCAAATTGTGTCTGAAAATATAGACGTCTACATTTTGAGACATCTTTAGCATCAAACTGTGAGCACCCCTTTCTAGCAGTCGTCGCAAAATCGTCTCAAAACTTTGCTGGTGTTGCCAGACATTTCTTCTTTGCGTGCATTTTTTATATATCGCCTTTCGATTTTGTTTCTGAAAAATTGTAATTATTTAACTTAATTACCAATTCCTAATATTTGTTATTTCTTTCCCTTGATTTGTTTCTTTTCATCAGAAATTACGCTCAAATTAAATGCAAATACAAAAAACGTGCCCAATAAATAAAAAAAATGTGATTAGTATTGCCATAATGCAACCCTGCTGCGAGGTTGCAAAATGTAGACGCGTAAAAAACATACCTTTGAGTGTGACAAAATGTAGACGGCGTCGTTTTCCAATTTTGTATGGGAAACAACAACACCACAGATTTTACGGTTAGAAAACGTCTTAAAATGTAGACGTCTACATTTTCAGACACTATTTGGAACGAACTGTGAACACCCCAAGTATTCTTATGGACGCTCACACACATATGTCAAAACTTGCCGTTCACATGCGAATGCTTTGCGTACGCACACTGTTGAGTGTGAGCTCGAAAAAAAGGCATATAATGCATTTTAAATTAGTTTTTATTCTATAATTCTGAGAGATATTTTAATTCTCTATCTTTTCATCTCTCAACTAAAGCAAAAAGTGTACTAATAACGAAGATATTGGTCAAAATAAAAAGCTCACGCTCGCATTGACCTGTATATCAGGGCTCGAATCGTCACATACGATATCGTACTACTCGTCACGTAAAAACACAATTTTCGGATTATGACACACGCGAACGTACTCTTTGTCCCACTCAGCTTATACTGCCTGTCGTATCACGTAATTTTCTTTCGTATCGTTTTCGATCATCTGTGAACGGATGTTACGATTCGAGGCCTGGCTTAACTTGCTTCTTGCTCGACCATGGAACAGTACACCCATAAACTTGGAATATGAAACCACTTACTGATTTGCGATCTGTTGCATCGCTTTCCCAATCTGCATCCACAAATCTGATAAGAGGTTTATCTGAAGTTTCCTTGAAGACTATTTTCTTTCCTTTTTTGCCTTTAAGATACATATCTTAAAATCCTTTTAAGACATTGCCAGAGCAATAAGTAGAAAAGAGGCTTTCTAGCACTGCTGGTAAAATCCCCATGTAAAAAAGGGACGCATAGTCACATCCTACACAAATGAACTGGTCAGGTTTTTCATATTAACCCAAAATTTCTGATGAGGAAATTGCAGCATTATTGCATCAGCACTGACCGTCAGATGACTGGTCATTTGCCAGTAAGATTTCTTGTAGGGACATCAGTAGTATAAATATTAGGTGCAATCCCGTATTTCAGACTTCTACTAAGGGCCGGTTGCTCAAAGCCTGGTTGACACTAATCCCCGATTAAACATCGTATTCGACGTTACCGACACCGTGTTATATATATGGAGTCGAAAACGTCGATAACGATGTTAACCCGTGATTAGTGTCAACCAGGATTTGAGCAATCGGCCCTAACAGTGGCTACACACGACGAACATATCCGCGCACATGCGCGGCTTGCGGGTCATGTTCGTCGTTTGTAGGGCGGTTTGCGAGCATCGCATTGGAAACAAAAACCACAACCTCATTTTGTGTTGATGCTTGAAGTGTGCACATCGGCGGATAAATGCATGCAAGCCATATGTGTTAATTGAATTTTTGATAAATGAGGCTAATTTACTATAAGTATATGTACGTACATACATACAAGTAAAATATAAATAAATTTAAGTAACATATTGTGGCGAATACTGCGGCAACACAAAGCGAACAACGAGAAATAGGCA